CTGTTAATTACAAATTTACACAATTATAACAAGGAATAGCTTGATGAAAAATGTAATCACACTCCCCCAATGGCCTTTGAGAAGGGAAGATTCGCAGAAGAGCCCAGCACATATGAAACAAATGGGTTTTTTCTCTTTTTCCTGACTTCCCTCCTGCTTTCACCACCTCTAATTCTATAGAATTTTAGACCAACACAACTTCTCAAAACTAATACATTCTACTCCAGGAACAAGACCCTGTACAGAGTGTGTTTTGTACAGAAAGGGAGGACTTTCTATATACCATAGACTAGTCCCACAGGAAATTTGCTGCATATTCCATTCATCTTCTTGTCAGAAAAAGCAGTACACAGTGGATTGACAGATGCTCACTGCATACCTTTGTTCTCAATGAAAATTTAACACTCATACTAAAAACTCTCCCATCCTTGAGCCAGTGAAAAGAAGAGGGAAAGTAGGTACAATTAAAAAGAAATGCCACAAAATAGAAACAAGTAAAAATTATGTCTCTAACGAAATATTTCCTCTGGACACCAAGCAGCTATTAGGTGGTTTGGTGAAAGCTTAAGATGCCTCACAAAAGCTGTTTATCTCCAACAGTGCAAATGAGGTTAATGGACTCATTTTCACTCTGTGATTCACTTTCTCTATTCTGCTTTTTTGTTTTATGCAGATAATGGGAAACAGCAAAGAAACATCATTCTCTAGAGCTTAGTAGGGAAGGGAAGTTCATTTGTTTCCAAAATTCAAGACAAGAAAAAGAAGGAAAATAAAACCAGTGGGGAGAGAAGAATAGTTATATAGAAGGGTAATAGGCAATTAGCACCCACCCTCCCACATACACCAGCACACATTCACGTAATCTACAGAAATGCCTGATCTTAATACAGCTTCCCCTAAAACATTAGGCTTGAATAAAACATCACTTCTGTCTGCCCCTTCAGAGGGTCTGAGTAGAGCTGGGAGACAGCACTGGAGAGGCACAAAGCCAGGAGAAAAGAGGACTATAAGTATAATGAACATGGGGTATTCTCTGACAGAGAAATAAAGAATTTTCATATGATTTCCTAATAAGTTACTTATGATTTTTCAAAACTAGAAAAGTTAGTTCTATGGGCAGAAGATGCAAAATATTCTGATTTTCACATCTCCTTTTTCAAATACTGCTGTATATGTTGCAAAAATTTGGGTTTGCTGGTCAATGACAAGCATTTGTATTCAAATGAATGACTAAACTAAGGAATAACCAGAACTAGTTTTGAGGGAAACTGAGAGAATGACTGTCAGGTCTGCCTTCTCTAAAAGCCTTTCTCAGAATGGTAGCTGGAGGCTGCTGCTAGACAGGGTGGTTGACTAACCAGGCCCAGTATACAACTGGATGTCCAAACAAGCTATTCCTTTGTTGACGCCTTCAGTCACTGATCACACAGTGTTCAGCTGGCCCTTACTGTTCCTGTTTGCATGCACAGAGGGACAGAGCACTTCGACTCACAGGCTTGTTCCTGCCTGTGCCAAAATTCGTAACACCAGGAATAAACACACAACCATCCTGTGCCTCTGGATTCCAGTTGTAATGGACTGAGTCGTGATCAAGTTCTAATGAAAATACTGAGAGTAAAATTAAGGACTTACACAGACATCAGTGCAAACCCATCTGTGACTAAATCAGCTTAATAGTTGTGATTTGCCTGTAATGTTTTATCGTTATATTAGGCATAGTAATGTTCAACTTATCCAGTCAATCCATTCCCAATTTTGATGAATTGTCTATTTTATTTTGAAACTAATATGGGATACTGCCTGAAAAAAGTCATGAAAAAATACATTAAAATTATATTTTCTCTGAAAAATAAATACTGTCTCCAAAATTCAGATTTAAATGTGTTACTTCTCTTACAGTAAAATTTGTAGTTAATTTCACAGAAAAAGTATATCTTCTGTTCTCCTTAGTAGTGTGAAGTAGAACCCATTTCATTGTAATTATTTTTCTCTTTCAATTTTCTAATATATTTTTGACACAATATTGTACTGCAGTGCTGAAATGCAACTTTTGAATCTTTTCTTCAGCAAAGACAACATTGCCTGTAGTATATATTTGCTATATTGACAGTAGGAGACAGGAATAAAAAGAGGCACAATACTTTGGAATCACAAAAAGGGAAAGTTTGGAGAAGAGAACATTTGCATACATATAGTATCTCCTTCAAAGATGAAAATAAGAATATTTCAATTAGAATGGAGTTCAGAGCATTCTAGAAGTGCTGTACAACATGTCCAAACACAAATTCAATGGACTGAGCCTTCTCAGTATTTTGAAAAATCGAGTAATACAGCAGTGGGATAGGATGAATATTGTAACACTGCCATTTTAAAAATTCATCATTTAACTTCTGCACCTGTTATATTTTCATAATACAAAGACTTAATAGTCTAAGTAGCTAACTATTGTATTCAGTTCTCTAGCAAAGAAATCAACTAGATTCACTTTCACAATGAAATGTCTCAACACCAAAAATTTGATAATTCTTTCTCCAAGTCATCTAGTAGTATGCAGAAAACCAAACATACTGATCTCTGAATTTGAGGCAGTTTCCTAATTAAATACAGGTATTTGCAGAAAAGAAGTATTTGATGCTTTCTTAAAGGAACTTATTCCTAATGAAACATGAAAACATTTTCCTTGATGACTGCCTGGCCCAAATGTTTGAGGTTCCCTACTATTCTTTCCTCTATATCTCCTTCTTGCAAATATTATTTATCAAAAGGAATAACTTGGAGTGCTTGTAAAGAAAAATAAGGAGGAATGTACACATAGGGAGGGAGCAGAACAAAAATACCTTTGCCTTATAAGATGCAGATCAAGAATATAAACATTAGGCTTTAATATGCATCGAAAAGATAGACTTGCAGTTGCAAGAAATCTCTAATTAACAGATAAATATATATCAAAATAACTAACATATGTATATAGCAATATTCATGTGGGAACATACTAAAATATTTATATTTCTATAAATAAAGTTTATGCGGATTCACAGCCTCAGACAGTTAAAATGCAATAAATATGGTGTTGCAAATGCAGACTTATTTTGAAATAAAATTGGAAGGTTTGAAATAACAGGAAGGTTAGAACACCGCTGTCCTTTTCATATACCTTTAGAAGACCTTTAAGAGGACAAAACATAATAAGGAAAAACAAATGCCCATAGTTTATGCAACAGGACCACGCATTTGGATGAACAGATGTGAGAAAGAGACTTCAGGGAATTCATGATTGACTTTCATATCCCACTAGAACAATATCTACATGTACACCTTTTTTATTTTAAAGAAGGATGATGGAATTGGAAAGTACAGGTCAACAGTCACAACTCAAGCAGATTTCACAGTCCAGTTGAAATGACAACAAATCACTCTGACTTTTGACTGAGAAAGGGTATAAAACTACTTGGAGGAACTAGACAATCTATCCCTCACAACCAAAGAGTCAGAGGTAAAAGACATTTCAGAAGAAATCAATCAATCTCACTCTCTCCAGAAACGTAATAATGAACTGGGGATTTTACCTATCAAAATTAGTAGAATTTGAAACTGGATGTATTATGTATGGCATTTCTTTTCATTTTCTCCTGTGTACTTAATAACTTCATTTAATTAGCGTGTCCCAGGCTGTTCTGACAAATTGAAGGTACTATGTTTTGACAACTAAATAATTTTCATGCTCTAGCATGTGGCAACTGGCTATGCTAGAACTCTTCTTTAAGGCAATATGCTAAAAAAAACCCCAGCAATAGCTGAATTAAGGATATTGGAAAAGTTGCATGTTGGAGCAACAAGAAGTGTAACTATCATGACAGACCAACCTTAATTTGATAATAATGAAATGAAAATAGCATTGAAAATATTTTTCCCTTACTACTTAGAGTACTTCATACACCACTAAATTTTTCACCCCTGGGGTGATGTTATGACTTTCTACATATCACATTTATACTTCCTTTCTATTAGATATGCACCTTGTAAATTTGAAAAAAAAAATCAACTTTCAGCACAGAAAAATTCTACTTTTAAAATCTGTGGTTTCTATCTGAAGCCTTCATGTACAACCTCACATGTGGTACACTGCAAAAGTGCAACTTGAAACTATTTTGTCTCAACATCTGAGCTTGCTGAGAATTCTGCTAGAACAAAGATTGTAGGTCATTGCTTAATTGGATGTTTTATAAAAAGATTGGTTAATAGTATGAAAAGTAGCACTTACATTTGAGTTAAAAAACCCTTAATGACCTTCCCCTATAAGATAGTAAGTAATGTATCAAAAATATCTTTGGCATGCTAATGCACTTTTTAATAGAGAAATTTAAATATTAAAAAAAAATATCCAAGAGTTTTGAAAGGCTTTTTTGATTTTCATACATTCTAATATAGGAGAGCAAGAGGAATAAACGTTCAAGGTACAATTTTCAAGATCGTTTTTTACTATATAAACTGTCAACAGGCAGAAATACTGAACAATCTAAGGCTTCAACTTCAAGCCATGCAAGCTTCCTAATTACCCACAATCATGACATCTCTTAAAAATCAGCAGAAGGTTAAGACTTGTCCAGAACAATGATTTTTTTTGCTTGTTTTGGTTTGAGTTTTTTTATTTTTGGGATTTCAGACTTGAAAAGCCCTTTATTTCTCTCCTCAGTGCCTTTTAATTGAACTAAGGTTCCCCTTTCTCTGAAACATTCAGAGACGATCTGAGAAATCATCTCAAATTAGATTGACCATTGCAAAGAATTTCTCAGTGTTTCTTTTGTAAGGATGAGGAGATGTAAAAAGATTCTTAAAAATGAAATTAAGTTCAGTAGTTTACTCTTTGATGAGCAACACCTAGGCATTTAACACATAATAAAATCCACATGAATGAATTACATCCCGAGCTCCATTTGACCTATTATATAGATTAAAAGACAGAGTACTTTAAGTACATATTTGTTTTGATATTTTTTTACCTCCAAAGAAATATTTATCGCCAGTCTTAACCTGTAGAGGACTGTTTGTTCGAACAGCTGAAGCTTCATCTCCATCGATGGTAAGGACAGCAAAATTTTCCTTAGCTAGGAATCGAACTTCATGCCACTGCCCATCATTGAGCCCAGAGCCTATGAAGAACACAAAAACATTGCAATATTTTAGTTAGTCCTGTATTTATTATCTCTAAGTGTTTTGTGGGTGTCTCTCGTAGGTTCATTACATAAGGCTTAATAAAAGCTATTGCAGAAATTAAATTATTTTACTGTGATAACAAAGCATTGCTATTAAAATAACTATTACCAAAAACTCCACATTATATCACAAATACAAGTCTTGTAACTACCAAAGTGTCCATGCTGTCAGGTATAATTGTATCTAACCACAGATGTTGTCACTCACCTTTCCCATCAAAAGGCCATATTCTGCATTTCATTAATAAAGAATATGTCTTAACTGCTTCTATGATCAAGTTTAGAAGGAAAATATACTAGTTCATCCATTTAACTACAGTCAGTAACAAGCCCAAAGGGTACATTTATGCTCATGTTAGATATGTATCAAGTTAGGTATTTCCAAGAAAAGGGAAAGCAAAAATAGGAGCGGGAAATGCTCACATAGACGGTGAGTTCACAGCTAAACCTGTCATTGGGATGTGGGGTTACTCACAGAAGATGAAGGTGTTATCACAGAGGCACTGCAAACCCAGAAAACTTCTGCCAAAACCCACAATCTTAGGGGACCACCATCCTCTCTGCACTAATAGCAGTAGAGAAGACGGATTTGTCCATTCATTCAGATGTTTTTTTAAAAAAAAACTGGCTTCATACACTTCTTATATTGTCTCCAGCAGCTGGCAGGAAGCCAATTTTTCTGGCAAGTTAAGAACTGCAAAAGGGTACTAGTTTGTTCTAGTCATTACCATGCAGACAGGTTATGTTGGGTCAACAAGTAAGTAGCAAATGCTCCAGTAAAATTCCAAGTTATGGCACCTCTTACAAGTGACATTTTCTCCACCTATATAAAGGTGCTAAGTCACCTTAGCAAAATGTCATTTGCCAAAACAAATCACAATGCAATATAATAAGCTGTTTCTAAAATTAAAATGAGATGTACAATATCAGCAGAAGTATAACAGAAGATAAAGTTTTAAAATATTCAAAAGAATATTACCTTCTATGAACAAGGAATAATAGACATATCAAACAGATATACCTAAACATTTAATTAATATTTTTTTCCTAAAGTTTTCACATCTTTGTTTAAAATACCAGATCACGTCCTGAAATAACATGGGGTGTTATATCCAGAATATTTTTGGAATATTTATTACTATGAATAGAAGTGGCAGAAGCCTCTTAAAAGAATGTATCAATAAGAAATGTTTCTGCCAAACCTGTTCCAACCTACAGTAAGAACAGATGAAAGACCTAATATACTAAACATGAAAGAAGTTTTCTTTCTGTTTGTACACTATTTTTCTCTCATTTTCATTACACTTGAAAAAGAAGAAACAGAAAAAACCATAATTATAATCAAGATAAAACTAATTTCTATTGATAATAAACTAAGAAAGTAAAGGAAGACACAAACTTCCAAACCAAAATTGTTACAACATGTGTTACTACAACTACAGTTTATGAGAACATACTTAAAACCCATTTTTCCAGCCTGAGGTGATCTAGTATTAAAAAACTATTTCATTTTTTAATCAAGGTATTCAGTATTGATGTGAACTGAATAACAGTGACTAGAGACTCCTGGATAAAATGAAGTATTCGCTATTAAAACACGAGGGCCAAAAGCAGTGGCATGAGCTGTTCAACCACAGAGGGAAGTATGTCTAAAAAAACTCCCTGGAAAGGCGGATATTGCAGATACCAAGACACAAAAGGATATGAAACAAGAGTGTGTCATTCTAGCTTGCGCCACCATTTGTATTATATCAAAGGAGAAGATTTTGCACATTAGTAAACTGTGACTAGAGAAATTATGTCACATCTCCAGGGATTCTTCCAAAAATGTCCACCTCCTATGAACATTTGAAACATTATTGGTTTTCTCTTGGCTCTGGACAGAAATTGTAGTTGTATGTGATGTATTTATGTGACAAATGTCTCTCTCTTAAAGCTTTCACAGTAGGAACTTCCAAATACACCATTGAGCTTGGGAAAGGGGGAAAGAAAGGTGTTGTTTTAATGATTGTCTTTGTTTCATGAATTGGTTGTGATGGAAATGATGTACGGACTTGGCTTGGGGAAAATCAGATTAATTTATTGCTGAATAAAATAGGTGTAAGTAGTGAGAAACAGAGTTCCTCCATACTTCTAGGTAGTGTTTGTACTGTGCTCTCCCCATGTGCAGTGAAGAGAAAATACCCCAAGTTGAATAACACCACACTGAGAAACTGAACTTGAAATGACTCAAGGCAAAAGCTGATGGAGGAAAATGGATCAGCAGAGCAGGTGGATCTGCTGAGCAGACTGAGAAATGAGGGCACAAGAAGAGCTGCAGGTTATGAGCAAAAACTGATTTCGTGCATTTTCTCTGCACAGCATTTAGCAAAATATACTAAGGGGACGTATTGCTGTCTGCAAGCTGCTAAAGGCATGATTGGAGAAGCACTGGTACTTTGTATTAAAAATATTTGCCCCTACAAGTTGGCATTATTTCCATCAGTCCCTGAAAGATGACACTCTTTCTGCTTTATGAACTCTTCGGCATATTCGCACGACGTAATCACAAGTCTGTCTTCTTCTCAGCTACTTCTTAGCTACATAAGCTTCTTCTTATGGAGATTTGCAATATGACAGTAACATTCCCAACTATTCTGGCTCAAAGTTGTCACAAAAATGTTTCTGTAATTTTGTGTTTGCTTAGCAAACTCTTTACTGCTACGTTTCTTTTTCTTGTTGAGTTTAAAAATACATGGTAATGAGTATTGGTCACTATCACTCAGCAAGTACTCAATGTTCCCAAGTAGTGTAACTGAGAGAATCTTTTATATCTACCACTTTTTTAAACTGCTTTTATTTATATATTTTAGCTGCAGTACTGTCAACCCTCCTTTTTTATGAAATAATGATTTGTTTCAGGGACTTAAATTACTATCAGAAGACGTGATAAATTGAATATAGATATTATAGGGGATAAGTCTGTACAGGTGCATGAGCTGTTTTTACTATAATGTTTTATTAGATGCCTCATGTATATTGAGGGGTAATTTTTGCTTGGACTGAAAGTCAAGCTTAGCTGAGATCTTTCTGTAAACCAAGACAATATTAAGAGTAGAACATGGCTCTTTATAACACAAAAAATTTCAGCTGGAAAGTTTAGCATGGATAACATCCCAAATGCACAGTGATGATTTCTCATTGCAATTTTATTTCCCTTATCTGAGCTGATAAATATATTTATTTGCTTTTTGGTATACAAGTTGAAAAAAGAAAAAGAAAGACATACTGCTGCTACCACAAATTCCCTAATGAGCTCTGGAAAAGATTGTTTCATATGCAAATTAAATATGTTAATAAAATGCATTCTCTCTATCTAGGATTTCTATTTAAATGACATTAAAAGTAGGACTCTTGAGTTAGGCACTTTGATTGAACAAGAAGAAACAGATGTTTTGCTTATTATAGACATGGAAGAAGAACTAGATTAACTAACACAAAAAAAGTACAGGAGTTCAATACATAATGGAGAATGTAGAAAGATAACATATAGTTGAATTTTGCCTTGAGGAAAACTACAGTAGCAAAAATCTCCAATTCTTCTACAGTTAATCTTGCATGTTCAAACCTTCCTGTGAAAGGCACTGACCCATGCTGTGGTTATTAATGAGTTCAAGATTATAGATGCTGATGATAAACATGGACAAAATTCTTCTGAAGTTAACAGCATAACATCTGCTACATTAGAACATTGTCATAATTTTGATATAAGACTGTGACCTAAAATTCAGTGGAAATGTTTAAGAACAAAACAGGGAAAGAATAGTAGCATTAGCTCCATGGCACACTGGAGCAATGTAAGGCTATGGGTCTGCATACAGTTCTTTAGTTCCTACTACTGCACTAAATATTTTGTACTGGAATTTCTTGCCAATTCTTACTAGAAGATCAAACCCACTATTCTCAGGCTGAAGGAGAGGCTGGTTTGTTAGTACTTTCACTTTAGCCAGACAGAACCATTTTTCAGACCGGTGTGGTAAGCACTATTCCTGCCTAACCCCTCACTATTTCAGTACAACTTTGCACTAATATTTCCGACTATAAGAATACAAGCCAACAATATTTTGTTTGAAACATTCAACTGTTTTCGAATATACAGCAAAATGTCATTAATATTCAATCAGAAAAATAACAAAATCATCAGGATGTAATTACAAGAACCATGCTTTTCTGTGTTTAGTTAATCATGTTTTTAAACTGGAAAAGCAAAATCACAGCTTTTCTACAGTAAAATTTTAGATATTTAGATTTATGCAATAAGCTATCTAAGTATACAACCTTTTGGGATTTATGATTCAGAAAAGTTATTTCCATTTTAAATTTTATTCATTTTTAGCTATCCCAATGATCAATAAGGTAAGACAGTGGCAAATGAAGTTCTTGAAGGTATTTTAATGAGGGAAAACCAACAAAACCAAAACATTATGACAAATTTTGCCTTCATATTTAAGCTCAGGGTTCTTTTTCAAGGTGAGTAGTTGGAAACATGCCACAAGTTTGCCCATTGATGATATTTTATTTATACTGATTTTGATAATCCTTATCCAATCTGGTAGTTTAACTCTTTATCCTACAAACACACTTCACAGAAGAAATCTCCATATTTTTTTTCCTGAAAATGATATACATTTCTTTTTTTGTAAATTCTAAAAAATTCTAGAAACAGCATTATACTCATAAATATATGTCATTTTATAGATTTTACATCTGTCAGATATCATTCTGTATGGAACTTATTATTATTTTTATATGCTTAACATCTTAATATTTAGATTTAGGTGGGCTAATCAGTATTTTCTTTTCCGTATTATGGAACTTAAAGATACTTGTTTTATGGCTATTATTCTGTCATATTTATCCACATATTTTCACTTTTTGAATTTAAAACACTTTTTTAT